ATTATTATTATTATTATTATTACGGTTTCATTGTTTAGTCAGAATTATTCAGACTTTTAGCATAAACGGACATTCTTCGCTACTATGATATCATCGAACACAAGAAATCCTTTCTCGCTTAAAACCATTCTGGCAACCGGATACAAAAAATATTCTCTCTATTCGTCGCCTTCGCCTAACATCAGCTCTCAGCAGATTAAGCTGAACAAGAGGTGTTAAGTATGAGAAAATCAAAGAACTCCGCCATATATCAGCTCCAAGAATCGTGGCTACAAGACTACATCGGCTGCACAGTCATCTCCCTACAAGGCTTCGTCAGCTTTTACCTTACAGGTGCTAAACGGCCAAATAAAATAGAGGAGCGTCATAACACCCTTTTGAAAAAATGCGCTAACACAGAACCCACTGAAAATTCTATTTATGAATTAAGCAGCCCATTCACTGGCCTTTCCGGTCCTCAGAGAGCGTTCGTATGTCAGGGAAATGTTAAAGAGCATAACTCGGCTAAATCGGCTTTCATTGCACTACAGCACTACTGCTGCTTATAGATGCACAGGATGACATTTAAGCAGACCATAGACACATCATGTTTAGCAGTAACAGTGCAAAGATGGATCATATATAGCCTGAAACATCACCCATGGATCTCTAGCACTGTAAGGACACATGCCATCAGTAACGCAGTTTCAGACATATTTATACCCACTGTCTTCCGGCAACAATAACTCCGCCCTTGCAGTCTGGGCTGAAGCAAACACAGCGTTCTGTTGCTGGCGACGAAATTTCTTTTTCGCTGCCACTGTCTTAATACCTTCCTAAAACGGAAGAACATTGTTATATAACAGAAGGTCTGAAAGTCGCTAAGCCGTACCGTCGAAACAGTCTTGAATCTTCGGTACTTCTGCAACTTTTCACTGTCAATTGGATATTCGAGTTCATCTTCGCTTAACTGATCATGCCGTTTGGCTAGGCGAAGCTTTTTAAATTTCTTGTGAGATTTCTCTGGCTCGACTGTTTCAGTAAGGGCATCCCTGTCTTCTACACTGGTGAAAGCTTCGACGACGGTTGGAACCTTGGTCTGGTCAACCTCTTCGTTATTTTGCACAACTTCGACAGCAGGTTTTGCACGAAAATACCGCTGATGAACCCCCATTACCTAAAAAACAGTAAGAAAGCCTTAGTAGCGGGGGAGCTACAAAATTAGCTAGCGCGCATCAACAGTGTTAAAAACAAAAACATTTCTTTCATCTAACCAGCGAATGGACTTAAGAGTCACAAAAATACGACATGAAGCTCGTGGCGCTTATTCAAGTTTTGCAAACATCTGCTATTCTAAAACGAGCTGAAGTTCGTTTACCTTTTAACAACGCTGCCGGTGAGTATCACTAAAATACGATAGCATCGGTCACAGACCAGCAAATACTGATGATTAGCAGTCTAAGAAAACTGCAAAAACATTTTGTGACCAAAGACTGACATGGCTTGAAAAACTGCCAAAAAAGGGAAATCCAGTCAGAGCATTTCTTTTATGGCTGAAGAGACATTTGAGGACAACATTAAACTTCAGACATTTTGTTTAAAACAAATCTGGTTGCGATCAAACAGTTTTAGCCGTATCAGCGAACGTTCCATTATATTGCGCAACCTAAAACACGATGTCGAGACACCAGAAGTACAGGCTGCTCTGCGGTTAAAACTGTTAGTCTTAGATGACGATGGCAACAATTTTCATGAAATTGCTAGCTCCAATTCTATATAAAATCTAGAGAACAAGTAAAAAAAATTCCATAAAATGAGTATGCGGTGGATAATAAAATGACAGAGTACATTATCCTACGGAAAACCTGCGTATAAGCTATGCATATGTCACCGTCCAGAATGGTCTGGATTAATAATCATGCTCAGTAATCCGTCCATACTAGTATGTGCAGACGATATAGCTCGCGATTTGGTACAAACCAATATTTACATATGTATGATTACATTATTACCAAGCCTACCTCTATACCT